CTAATGTATTTCAAATGAGTGAAGACAACTATGGTTTGGTGCGCCAGTTGATGTACAGTGAAATCGCCTCAAACCGAGATGTTTATCGCCATGTGTACAGACTTGGATAGTTCTTTGCGGCGTATCTGGTGCGGAGGAGGACCTTGCGGTCAAAATCATTGGTTCGACGCACCACTTGATCTCTTTGCGGTTACAAACATCTACAAGTGCGCAGTCATGCATTTCGGGCTTGGTTTGCATAGTCGAGCTTATTATCCATGTACCACGATTCTCCCTTGGTGTTCACGTGCGATCGTCACCAGACCGGTAAAAGAGTTAGCTATTGCATTTCTGGGGCTGTCATACAGACATTTCATCCGATTGGACCTGTCATCAGATTTTCCGGTGCCACCAATCATACCTCGGTGGTACACCATTCGCACACCAAGCGTAGAGGGTTGGGATGTGCTGTGTCATGACCGGATGCGTCATTGGAACAACCTAGCTGCCTTTTAGTTTTTATGTTGCTATGTAACCTTTTCTATGTAACCTTGTATTTTTGTTGCTACATTTTTATACCATTTATTTTGTTTTTGTATTCTAATTTTGACTAAATTTATATGTTGCAATCACACTAATTAGTTATTTGCGCATTATAAACTAAAAATCAAATTTTAAAAACGTAAAATAATAATGTCAAATGTTTCTAACTTAAACGATACTGACAAATTTCACAAACTACTATGATAATGTTCTATAAATAAACTGCCAAAAAATTAGTAATCCCTCTATGACGCCCACTGCCACTGCTCAAGGGCCCGTTCAAGATCATCAATAACAGCTCTGCCTGATGCAGTCGTTATGTTGTCCCTCTCCTCAAAAAGTGTGTGTCCCAACTGTATCATCTTTCCCATCCACTACACACAACAAAAAACATGAAATTCAATAACGACATATTATATTAAAAAAAAAACAAAACAACAAATGTTTAATGAGACATATCGCATCCACGGCAGTGGGAGGTGGCACATCATCATCATCGGCGTCGTCGTCGTAGTGGAGGTCTCTGATCAACCTCAGGTGTGAATACCGGCTGAACCATTCCATGTAGTGCTGGTCACATATGACAGTCACCCCAGTTGGCGGCCGCTGCAGCTCTGCCGTCCATAGGCGGGCAACCATCGGAAACTGCTCCCACGTGGCAATCATGCTTCCCGGCCATTGGACGACATACTCCTTCGACGACACAGATCGGACCGCCTTACTAGGACATGCTGGTGGAGGAGGAACAACTTCGACAAATCCAAGCTAGCGAAGACAGCGCTGCGGCATGTACGCCTCTATGATCTCACGATACTGAATCAGTCCCATGTAGAGGGTCCTAGGTACCCTATTACTAAGGTTCTGGCCGAAAGGCATCCAGTTCACCTGCACATTTTTTCAAATTAGTAAGAGTCATATAATAAACGCATCAAACTATAAAAGTAGAAATAATTTAAACACTTTACCCCTAATGGGGACATCCTGTCAAGCAATAACCGTATCGATCGCAGACGGTCAATGGACTTCTTCTCGAACTGCGGACTCCACGCATAGGCACGTGGTTGCCCATCCCCAATAGGAACCAGGTCGCGGTATGGTCAAAATGCAGGAAAATACTCGTATATCCAGGTCTGTAACAATGTCTGACATCCAGTGATACTTGGCGCATCAGCCCGACTCGAGAATCCTAACTGGCGATACAGATACGCCAACGTAGCTGACCCCCAAGAAAACTGGCCTACTCTGTCGGGCTCACTCGCGTCAACTATTTCCGCTCTTATCCGGAAACAAGGTACACCCGAGGAGAAGAAAAACATATGCAGCCAGCTGTGTGTCATGCGTCCTACGTGCAGTAGGGTGCAAACATCGCTGCAAAACGGCTGCGATCTTAACACCGCCGTGATCCCAAATACTAAGTTTCGCTGTGTATAGCACAACCCTATCCACCGCCAACAGCTCCGTTAGTAAATTTGTATGATCCGCATCGGTGACAACAGAAAGTCGGTTTCCCTCTACGGGAATCCCAAGGATGGCCTCGACGTCATGCAACATGATCGTCATCTCACCAAACGGAAGGTGGAAAGAGTTCGTATCCGGCTGCCATCGCTCAACGAAAGTCGTGATCAACGTTGAGTCAATCCTTTCGTGCATGGTGGTAGGAAGGTGACTCACTCTAGTGCCCCTCAATCGGCCGATCATCTCGCTCTCCTCCGGCCAAGCATAAGCCCAACTACGCAATTCCCGGGTTTGGCATTTTAAAATGCCCGTATCCAAAGCCCTCTTCTGGTCCTCCCAGATACGGGTAACGATGTGTCTAAAACGCTAGGAATCACACTCCCGTCTACAGGTCCCCCAACCACCTCACCCCTCACCGCCCAAGAATCATTAACGGCCTTCGACCGTTTTCTGCTAACCGTAGACACAGTGGACGCAGATGATGTGCCAGATCTACTAACAAATCTACTATCTCTACCCTTACGCACATCTACCCTATGCGTCTCATACATATCATCAAGCCTCTGACTGAATGGACCGTAATCATCATATGGTCCACTCTGATCGTCTATCCCAAGCACCAGATCCTCATCTGCGTCCTCCTCCTCCTCCTCATCATCATCATCTTCATCATCCTCAGGATAGTACACCCGTTCTCTACGAGCCAAGGCTGAAATACCATGAGATCTGACGTGTCTGGGCCCCGAGCTCTCCATTGAGTAGATTGTACTTCTAATAACGTCCATACTCTTTCCCGCACTAGGTCGAAAATGCGATACCTAACTCCATTTAAATAAAGAAAAATAATAGCAATTGTTATTATTATTATTTATATTAATAATCTATTTTTAAAAGTATCAACAACAAAAAATAGAAATACCTAACCAGAAAAAAATATCAAATAAACAAAAAAAATACTAACAAATTGACATTAAAAAAAAAAAAGTACACAACACCGAAAAAAAATTAAACAAATTAGAAAATACACACAAAAACAAAAAAAAAAAATACCAAAACATACAAAATAAATATGAACACAAAAAAAGTAAATAAAAATAAATAAATAAAATAAACAAAACAATATACAAATAATTGAAAAATAAATATAAACATAAAAAAAACAACAAATTTGAAAAAAAAAATATAAACATAAACAAAACAATATAAAAACAAAAAAAAAATATAAAAAAAAAACAAAAAAATATAATCAAGAAACAAAAAAATCAAAAAGATAAACAAAAACAAAAAAAATCAAAAATATAAACAAAAAACAAAAAATCAAAAAAAAAAAACAAAACAAACAAATAATAACCAAAAAAATTGAAACAAAACCAAAAAAAACAAAACAATAATAACCTAAAAAAAAAATTAAAAAAATGAGAAAAAAAAAAAAGTGGTGGCACCTTACGGTGGTGGCGCCTGGGCAAGACACCTAGGCCACGGTGGCGGCGTCTTACTAGCGTATGGGTAAGGCGCCGCCAACTCAAGGTTTTTTTTTTAAAAAAAAAAATTTAAAATTACCTTTCTACCGCGTGACCGCCTTCCCTCCGCCTTCGGTGCCGCCACTTCCTTGCCTTGCCGCCTCGATATTTAAAATTTTTTTTAGAGAGAGGAAATGAGAGTAGAGAGTAGAGAGAAGATGAGAGAGTGTTTTTTAATTTGTGGGCAAAAGTGTCAATTCACTTAAAATTTGTGGGCTTTATGTAGAGATTTACGGGCGACGTTTAGCCGTTCACTAAAATTTTCATCCCCATGCCCATCTCTATCCCCACAGCGAGTCCAAAATTCATTCTCATCCCCGCCCTGGCGGGTACAATTCTAAAACCATCCCCGCCCCACCCCCCCACTTGGATATCCACCCCCACCTAATCCCCACCCAATACTCACTTAATCTCTGCCTCCCAAATACATAATCCTACATAATTAATATAGGTTACAGAAAAAAAAAAAAAAATCATTGTTAATGTTACACACTTTTTTGTTTATAATATAAGTATATTACAAAATATTATGTTTACTATTTTATTTACATAATCTATTAACTATTACTAAAACAAAACATTGTTGACATCATCTCTCCTTAAAACTATATACGTGTCGCTTTCTTATGAAATTTTTTCCCGCCTAAAACCATTGATGATGTCATTTTTTTGTGATACCTTTTTTTTAATTAATTAATTTATTTATTTTTACTTCATAAACAAGCTAAGTAAATTCTTTCAACAACTTTAATCTAGAAAATCGGAGTATAGTAAATTGAATAGCAATTGTATTCCTTTCTTTTGTTTTAAAGATTTATCATTCCCTCTCCTCAATTCCTTAACACTAATATTCAAACGTATAGAAATTTCGTGAAATATTCAAATTGTATTCATTTTAAGAAATCTCCTTCCAATGAATTTATTTCAAAATTAAAAAGATTCATTGTATATACGAAATCTACGTTATAATTATTTTGTTTAAATCGCGCATCGCACGGGGATAAGTTTTTTTTTATAAAAAAAAAATAGTATAAAATATAATCTTGTTTTAAAAAATATATAGATATGGGTATGGGGTGGGGATGAAGAAGCGGGGAATAGGGCGGGACGGGTAGAATCTAAATCTACCTCCGTCCATCACGTATGACGGGTATGATTTTATTCCCGTCCCGACCCCACCACCCGATAAACCGAGACCCATCCCCAGACTCGCCCTAAGTGCCCCAGTGACATCCCTACCTCTATTCCCTAGACCTCGTTTCCACACGCCAAACGGCAAACGCCTTGATAGAGAAAACATAATGGTGCATCCGACTCATCAGTCATCAATGACTATGGCACTGTAGACAGAGAGAGAAATATGGTAGAGGGCACGGCATCTTCGGCAGATGGTTCCAAATACAAGGAGTACTTGGCGGGCTTGATAGCCGGCGTCGCCACCGTCATCATCGGCCACCCCTTTGACACTGTCAAGGTCTAATCTTTCTTGTTTATTCTACTATTACATTCAACCAACTTAACCCCATTGCTTAATTTTATTGCATTTATACAATTTTGGATTTATTTGCACTATACCCATATATTTTGTTTGTTTAATTTTCTTGTGGATATCATGGATTGTTGAGGTAATGGTTTATTTTAGACATATTGAAAATATGGTGTATTTATTGTTTTTGTGTTGAATTTATACCAAATGCAAATGGGTAAATATATGAGCTTGTGGTGGCAATTTTGCTGTTAATTCTGTGAGTGCTGATGATGGGCAAACTTGAGTTCTGTTGTTGGAATCATTGATGTTGGAATGAGTTCATGAATAGGGGTTTGTTTATGGAAGATTAATTTGCTTGTGATTCGACTTGAAATGCTGGGGTTTGTTTTGGATCTATGTCACTATTGTTTTTTTGGTGTTCTTTCCGGTTCATCCTTTGGGCTAATCCGGATTCGGGCTCAGTTTTGAGGGGTTAGGTTCAAGTCCCCTCCTAATTGTTATTGTGGGTGATTGAACACGCGATCCTCCCTATCAAGTGTAGCACTGTACCAACAACCAATTGGTATGTCACGATTGTTTGTTATATACAATGTTATTAAGTTTGAGCATAATGGTGTGGCCATGTTGGACAGACGACTTCTTGATTATAAATGGTATACAAGTTTGTACTCGTTTTATGTTCATCTCAGAGTGCTCGTATACAAGTTTGTACCTGTTTTATGTTCATCTCAAAGTGCTTGGTTAGAAGGAGATGCTTTCTTCTCATTACAATGCTATGTGATGACATCTTTGAAGCATTGCAATGGATGCAGATTTGCAATTGTAGAAAATTTATACAAGAGTGAAGAAAACAATTTTGAGTAGTGATAAATTAGTTTTACTAACAAAAACTTTAAGAAATTTATATTAAAATTACCCCTACAATGTATATTCAGTCCAAACTTTCAATTTAATTATTTCAAACAAAACAATTGATTAGATTCATACTTGAGCTTATCAACAACAATTATAGGACATCTACAATAACTTTATCACGTATCATTCTTGATGTTTGCATCTTTAATCAAGGTTAGATCTTTGAGAAGAGTTGGGATTGGATTTCTTAATATATCCCTTCAATTTAGGCCATTATCATTTATCAACATAATACTTGGAAAATAATTGATATGAAAATTTAAACTTGTATGTGTGTTAGGACAATAACTCTTTGATGTTAGGATCCCAGCCTTTTCCTTCGATCTTGACTGATTATCATGTTAGTTAATGGTCTAAGCTAAGCATATTGATTTTTGAGACACTATTTATGAATTTATTATATTAATGCTCGCTATTTTTACTTGTGAATAAATCAAAGAATGAAAATCATTGTTGGTAAATGTGATTGTGCTGCTCAGATACTTAAATCTGATTCAAAAAACCTATATGTGATCTTTAGATACTCATATACGCTTGGCACTAGCATGCTGATTATACCAATAAAGATTGACTTTGTAGAATTGGTAGAATTATACCAAGTATTTTACTGTAGTAAATTTTTTCTCAATCTTCTTAGTTTTGAGGTTCTGATGCGGTTTAAAAACAAATGCAGATTTTCACTTGGTTGAATCTAGGATCACTCTTTAAGATCTTACCAATTATTGTTTTAACACACATGAAATGGACTATAATCCATGAAGGAGATCTTTTCCTATAATCTATCTTATTATGTTTAAGTAGATGCTTTCTTCGCAGGCCTGACTCATATGTGGTATTTTCTTGCTGACAGGTGAAGTTACAAAAACACAATACTGAAGTACATGGTGTCAAGTATAGAAATGGATTGCATTGTGCTGCTAGGATATTGCAGAATGAAGGGGTATGGATCTCTGTTACCCAGCTTTAAGGTTAGGAATCCCATGTATCTAAGAAGGCTAAGCAATCATAATATTCATCATGGCTCTGATTAAATTTTTAGAAAAATTAATTAGATTAACCCCGAATTAAAGTGTCTATTATATTAAAACCATCCCAAACTAAAAAGTTAGTTATAAACCATGGCGTGCTGTATCAAAATTCACATGCCTGTTTTATACTGAAGTTTTTATCCTCCACTTTTTCTCTAAAGCTAGGCTCCACACTTGCCTGCTCAAATTTTCTGTACTTTATTAACTCTACTCCATTTACTAACGTCGAATTTATTCTGGAATGGGAGAAGTATTATGCAACATTTCCGCTTCTGAATCTGGGCTGCATTTTAAGAAGTTTTAGCTAAGTGTATGTGCTTACATTGCAAATTAGCTGGAATACGCTTTTATTTGACCATCTCATATACCGTTTCATATGTAAGAGTCTCTTGAGACATTTGGGTGCATGAGGTATACTATGTTCAGTGGCTGGAAGCTTGCATGAGGTGTAGGGCAATTTTGTTACTTTTTAGGAAAAGGATTTTTTAGAGTGTTCAGAGGAAGTGCAAATTGATATTCTTTTTGAGAAAAATGTTTCAGATAAATTACATATTTATTACTATTCCAAAATGAATTTTCATTTCTAGCTACTTAAGAATGCATTGATACATCACTTCATAACAGGCGAGACCAAGGCAAAATCTATCTCTTGTGTACTGTGTGTGATACAAGTTCATAAATTGTTAAAATGGTAAAAAGTGAATAAATATGCATGATATTCATTGGAAATATCTGTGACTATAATCAATCCATCAACTGTAATGAACTACGGAATACATTGACAATAGACTACAATGTGACTGACCTATTTAGAAACCAAACCGAACCACTCCTAACCTGAACCATATTTAATTCAAACAACCCTGTTTGCCACTACTACTTTCCAGTACAGAAATGATGCACAATTTATTGGAACTACTTAGATGATTCAAATCTTATAAAAAAAACAAGTTTTACTTGCGAAATCTATGTTGGTTTTCATTTGTGGGTGTAGATTGATCAGTTAGGAATAATTTTATTAAATTTTCAGTGACAGGATGCTGATGGTGATTGCTGATCTATCAGTCCTTAACTCTATTTTAAGAACAATCTACAATAGTTAAGGTTACACCACATTCTCCTATTCCAATATCTTACTTTAGCGATGGCATACAAATTTCTTCTGCATAGCATTTCTACTCCGTCTAAGTAAATTTGCTGCTGATTGGAACTTGGAAGAAGCAGCTACTGTGATTAATCGCGGATTCAGAAATTTTTGCATATGGGTCCATATCTTCGAGCATTAGACAACTAGCTAGCTAAATGTATCGATAAACATAAATAAATCAAATATTGTCTCAACTCCCAATTACTACCATATTCTGGGGACGGAACTAGGATTTTGAAAATGGGAGTACATGTTTCTAATTAAAGGATCATTAAAGAATTAAGTAATTTATTGTGTAATCAATCCATCTTCATGTGAATTAATCGCAACATTACTGATAAATTCAATTCCCATACCAGTATATTACCCATATAAAGGTCGTGCCAAAACTTTTCAAAAGATAGCTCGAGCTTAATTGGTTTTTGTTTTCCTACTTATGTTAAGAAAGCAACTTAATGAATATAATTGTAATTCAAAACAAAATCATACCAAATACTGAAATTTAAGAGTAATTGTGTTTCGTGAAAGTACTGAAAATATGGTGAAGAGATTATAGAAATGCCCAAAAATAATTGATAATTTTTTAAATATTCTAAATTGAAAAGGAAATTATAGATTTGAACCCAAGCTCAGTAAACATAGCACTAAAATCATCTGCCACTTTCACCCGCAATTCAACATTTATTTGGATTGATAGAGGTTCTAAAATAAAATTTATAACAAGTATTTTTGTTCTTTCCAAAAACAAGAAAGAAAAAGGTTTGGCACTATTGGCAGGTTTTGATCCCGCGCACTTATAAGAGTATTAAACTCTTGCACATGGGTTTTAGACCACTAAACTGGATCCATACACATTCAATCATTGTATGTGTGATTGTTAATACTACCTCCGTTAACAGTTATTTGCAACGATTTGATATAAAGTAGAGAGGAAAAATGTCCCATCGTTGCAAATAACCGGTAACGGAGGTAGTAAAAGTTTGGAAATTTTGCGAAAAACTACCATTTACCATTTAAATGACGAGTTTTGAGAACAACTACCATTTAATTTTATTTTTTTTAAAAAACTACCACAATAACATAAAAAGTTTGAGTAGCATTACCTTATCAACTTTTCCGGCTAGAATCTCCGGCCGTGGGGCCCACAAATTAGTATTTCCCTCCCAAAAACCTATTCGAAATGATGAATCTACCCCTAATCTAATCTGGCCTCAACTACCTCTCTTTGTTCATTAATTTCCTGCCTAACTCCTTCATCCACCGTTATTCATTCGTCACCATCTACTCATCTCTGTAAATCAGAGAATATTCCCCCCTTTTGACCTTCCATTCTTTCTCTCTTTTGCAACTTCACTCACAATCTCGTTCTCTTACGAATTGTGGTCCTAATTTAGCCACAAAGTTTCTGCCTTTCGTACCTGCTCGTGCTTTTTTGGGCAAAAAGAGAAGCTGCTAGCTATAATGGAGGCACGCCTACCACTCAAAGCATCACAAAACTTACAAGCAATGAACCTCCTCCCTGGATTAGTGCTAGTCCAAGAGGTCTTCATTTTTGGGGGAATTCCGCAAAAGCATTTGGAAGGAAATGGACGAGCTAAGTGATATGAGGAATTGGACATGGTTGGATTCAATTAATTGCTGCAAATACATAAACAAATAATGAGTAATGAACCCTAGATTGGATAATACAAAACAATTGCCCCAAATCCCCCAATTTCAAAAACCCCCAATTTCAATTTTTTTTTTTTACCATTAACCCTAATTTATAGTTTTAATTGAGAAATTGTGTCAATTACAATGTGAAATTAAATAAACATTTCCTTCAATTGTGTCCACCAATTGATTTTGCTTGTTCTCTCGCCTTGAATTGATTGAAATCAAGAGATTAGGGTTTAATTTTGGTTTTCATTAGCGGAAAGGGGGAAACGAATAAAATCAGTTATAAATACAGGAGAGAGAAAAAATTTTGGGAGGAAAATACTAATTTGTGGGCCCCACAGCCGGAGATTCTACTCGGAAAAGTAGATAAGGTAGTGCTATTCAAACTTTTCATGTTTTTGTGGTAGTTTTTTCAAAAAAAAAAATTTACAATAGTAGTTGTTCTCAAAACTCGTCATTTAAGTGGTAGTTCTTCGCAAAATTTCCTAAAAGTTTATTTTTTTCTCCCGAATTACAGTTTTTCCCAAAATCCAGTATGGGTTTAGTTGAACCCACTGAACCCATATTGGATTTGCCACTGACTGTGATTGCTTATCTCTTTTGCCAGAGTAAACCTATCATTTTTCTCAGTATGCGATTAGTGTGTGCAATCCCTTTTTTTTTTTTTTATTTAAAACTTGTTTGTCGTGTTCATTTCAATAGGTAAGGGGTCTTTATCGAGGTGCCACCTCCTCTTTTATAGGGATGGGTTTTGAAAGTTCACTTCTGTTTGGCATATACTCGCAAACAAAGCAATCTCTCCAGGTAAAAATCCTTCCCCTGAAGCTCACAAAAATCACATTTTTTTTTTTTTTTTTCATCAGAGATCTATTTCCAAAATTTATAGACTTGAAATGTATTGTTGCTGTATGGAATCTGCTCCATATGGACTAAATGTGAATTTTTTCCTCAATGGTGACGGTTTGTCTATAATGGCTTAAGGGCAAGCTGCAAAGTTCTGGACCTGATTCCCTAGTCATAATTCCATCAGCTGCCTATTCTGGGGCTATAATCAGCTTTGTACTCTGTCCTACGGAGCTAGTGAAGGTAAGGAAATATGCTGTTTTTGAATATATTGTTCTAGGCTCTTCCAAGTTGACTCTGAGCTTCTCCAGTGTAGGATGCAAATTCAAGGAACTGATTCTTTGATTCCGAAGGCGAGCACATATACCGGTCCTGTTGATTGTGCCCTTAAGACTATAAGAACTGACGGGGTGAGGAATCTCTTTTGCTATGTATAAGACTGACTGGTTATTGAAGAGCTGATGTCTTAGATGTGCAGGTAACAGGCATTTTCCGTGGAGGGACGGCAACCTTTCTAAGAGAATCTTTGGGGAATGCTGTTTTCTTTAGTGTTTATGAGAATGTCCGACATTCTATGCACTTGAAACTCAAAGATTGTTCTGGAGAATATAAAGGCTTGGCTGAGATAGGGGTTGGGATCATCAGTGGTGGCCTAGGTGGTGTTGCTGTAAGTGTAGATAGTTCACAGGGTTAAACCCTTTAATTTTTTTTTAATTCTCTGCCATTCATTTTGCTTCATTTCCTGAACTGTTCTTTTGGCTGAAAATTTTCAGTTTTGGTCTGCTGTTTTGCCCCTGGATATGGCAAAAACCATGATTCAGACCAACCCAGATCCAAACTACTCCAGAAATCCTTTTCAAGTGTTGAAGTTGGTATAATTTATCTCTCTTTCTTTCTTTCTTTCTTTTTTTTTTTTTTTTTTTTTTTTTTTTTTTTTTTTTTTTTTTTGGCATGAAAGCAAGTTCAGTTTGGACTAGCAGAAACTCTGTGTATACCTTGGTGGTTCAGCTAACATACTGTATATCTGTAGGTTTACAAACAAGCTGGGCTAAGAGGATGCTATGCTGGCTTAGGTCCAACTATAGCACGGGCATTCCCAGCCAATGCAGCAGCAATTGTCACCTGGGAATTTGCCATGAAAATGTTAGGCATCAGACATGAGTAGTTATCTTTCTTACAGAGATTCATTTGCGGTGAATGGAAGCAGTGTGATTTGACGGGAGATTTGGAGTAAGGCGCATTTAATTGTTTGCCATAAAATTCAAGTGTCCATGGTCTTTGAACTCTTAGGCTTACTTTGTGCTTGTTTGATTCACATGAGAATTAAACTCCCATGGGAATTTATACTTCACGAGAAATTACTTCCTTTCTGCAATACCTAGGAAATGACATGTTTGGTTGACTCCAGGAATTCCCCGTTCCTGTGAATTTCTATCGACCAAGGGGTTTTAGGTAATTAATCACCCATGTTTTGTGGGAAGCCGAATTTCATAATTTTAGTACTTATCAAACATGTGAAATAGCTACCCTAAATTGTTTACTTAAATATCTACTTCCCCCATTTTTTCTTTTTTTTTTTTGGTTAACCAAACAAGCACTTAGTGATTACTCGTAGAGTGTAGGAAATAGGCAGTTTGAAAAGCATATTGATTACCTGGTGAAGTATTATTTGACTTGGGATAGTTCTGAATCATTCTGGAGTGTACTTTGTATTCCATCAATGATATTAGTGTTTTGTTATAAATAATGATACTCTGTATTAACTTAGTAATTAAATTTTTAGCAAATTTAGTCTATTGCTTCAGTCTAAACATTTTTTTTATTAATTACTCGTATTTAATATGTTTATTTGATTTTGTTAGAAAACGCCGTCAAAGGCCAGAATATAGGAGCTTATCAGTACAGCAGCCTGTAGGGAGGAGCTACCTTCAAGGAAGGACCTCCTTATAGGCAATTTGAAATAACAGATTACAATTACCAAACTTAGAAGGGAGCACACTATGAATCAATGGAAGAAAAGCATAACTTCCTTCTGGACTTTGCGAGCCAGATATTCTGGTCTCATTACAACAGCTTTTCATACTGCTTAGTTCCTCCATATGGCTCTGCAACATCCTATTAATGACAGTTGCAACTTGCAAGCAAAGCGCCACAGCATTTCTTTTAAAAAAATCGCTTTTCAACTGGAAAGATATCCACCTATCAAACCTCGTCGTCTCAGACCCTCTGTAGCGAGTATCAATCCAACCATTGATGAGCAAAAGAAATACCGAACGTGCAGTTTGGCTTTAGTATTGATCGGAACTTCTGTAGAAACAATGAGAAGCAGATGAATTGGTGTTCACTGTTCAGAGGAAGCCAATCTATTCCACAGACCCAAGCGGCCAAGCGCACCATATGACCTAGTAACTTAGGACTTAAAGAAAGTAAGAAACTGGTTACCATGCTTCATCGTGTAGCCTTTGACATCAGGGCTAGAGCCTAGAGTCAGCAATGGCCTGGCTTACTTGCCTGATAGAGCCCGACTTGAAAAAGTACAGGTTTGAACAGCGCTAAAAACTTATTTCTAGACAAAAACCCGAGTCCAGCCGGAAAAAAGCCAAGTACTGGTTTGGATAGAACGGGATTTTATACTTAGGTCCGATCTGACCTGATTATTGATCAACCGGAATTTGATTAGTCTTGGACTATGCAATCGGCGCTGATTATTCTTGGACTATTCAGGCCCATTTTGAAGGAAAAATTAAACTAGCTTATATATGACCCAAATAAGCCCAAACTATTTTATTACCTTCAATACTGCTGGCCCAAATTGTTTTAAACTGTAACGAATCAATTGATCTAATCAACCCTTTTGTCACCAACTCACCTCTGGAGTTTAGTGGAGAAGAACTTCTTGCAAAACTTTTGGATTAGGTATGGAGGAAGTCCTAATACATCACTATTAGACACAAGCAAATACATAATAATGACAATTTTGTAAATAATGACACTGAGAGGTAATATAATAATACTGTACATTTTCAGTAGTACTATATAGTATAAAAGACACTCTTAGTAATACTTTAAAAAACATCTCATTACTACTATTAGGAATTCCAGTAGTATAAAAAATTGTTATGCAATTTTGCTTATGTCTAATGGTGATGTATGAGGTAAGTCATGCATGTTGATTATGTTACTCAAGGGCAACCAAACATTATTAAAAAATTATGTTTGTTTCACTATAATATTAAATGACAATAGACAGTGTGACTTATTGAATTTATATACTCAATAATTACTCATATTGATTCATTTTAATGTTGTTACACATGGATGAAGAAATCCATCATTTTTTTAAAAGTTTTGTGATAGATAATAGGTTAATATATCTTGCTGATATTGTGTAAAGATATTTCTAAGTGTAATTTAGTAAATATATGAATGAGGAATTTAATGCTCTTACTAAATAGCATATTTGGGGCCTTGTTCCTAGACTGGAAGGGGTGAATATTATTCAGTGCATGTAGTTGTTTAAACACAAGTACAAGGAAAATGGTGAGTTGGAGAGACATAAGGCGAGACTTGTTGTTAATGGCAAGTCTCAACAAGTTGGTGTTGATTGTGATGAGACTTTTAGTCCCATGGTGAAGCTGGCAACTATTTTTACTGTTTTCAGCATTGCTATGAGGAGAGATTGATATATTCATCAATTAGATGTCAAAAATGCGTGTTTTCATGGTGACCTCAAAGAAATCGTATTTATGCATCAACCTCTGCCGGGATTTGTGAATCCCAATGCTCCTACACATGTTTGTCGTCTTCGCAAGTCTCTTTATGGCCTTAAACAGGCTCCTCGGGCTTGGTATCAACGTTTTGCAACTTATCTCTTGCAGATTGGCTTTGTTTGCAGCAAAAGTGATAATTCCATTTTTATTTTGCGCCACGGTGCGAATGTTGCATATCTTTTACTCTATGTTGATGACATTGTTCTCACAACTTCTTCTAACAGACTCAAGTGTGATATTATTGCTCTTCTTAAGTCCGAATTCTCTATGTCGGACTTGGGAAAGTTAAGTTATTTTTTAGGGATCTCCATCAGCTGTACCAAACATTCTGTGTTTCTTAGTCAGAGTAAATATGTTTAGGAAATTATTCACAGGGCAAAGATGGATAATTGTAAACCGATTGCTACACCCTTCGATCCTAAATCGAAACTTGGGACTCACGATGGCGACCCAATGAAGGATCCCTCTTTTTACAGGAGCCTTGCAGGTGCACTACAGTATCTCACTTTCACTACATTGCTTATGCTATTCAACAGGTTTGCTTATTCATGCATGCTCCTCGAGAACCTCATTTTTACGCTCTAAAGCGTATTATCAGATATATCTAAGGCACTTTGGACATGGCCTACATCTATACCGTTCTGCTCCTACGAGACTTATTTCATACATGGATGTCGATTGGGGCGATTGCCCGGACACACGGCGCTCTACTTTTGGGTATTGTGTTTATTTGGGTGATAATATTGTCTCTTGAATTGGTCTGCAAAACGATAGGGTACTTTGTCATGATCCAGTGCCGAAGCAGAATATAGAGGTGTTGTCGCTAATGTCGTTGTCGAAATCTGTTGGCTCCGGAATCTTCTCCTAGAGCTACTGTAATACCCCGTATTTTTATACGTATTTTAACTTAAATAAGTATTTCTTAAAGTATTTAAATAATTCGAAATGAATTATTTATGGTGTTTCATTAATTTAAAAAGAATTATTTTAATTAAAAGTTTATTTTTAATTATTTAATAATCTTGAAAATATGTTAAATCGTGATTTGGAAATATTGGGGCATATTATTTTATAAAAGGAAATTTTAAAAGTCAATGAGTTTTTAAAGAAAGTCAAAATACTAGTTTGAATAGGAAAGAGGTCATTAAGGGTAGTACATGAATTTTAATTAGGAGGGTTGTTGAGAGAGGGTATAAATACCCATCATATGCCCAAGGTGGAGAGTACCCAAAGGTAAACTATCTCTCTCTTATTTTCTTTTCCCCTTAATTTTTCCCCTTTCCCCTTTGTTTTATTTTTGTTTCAATCACCACCCACACACACTCCACCACCGTCGGCTACCACCACTGCTGCCCACCGGCCGGCAGCCACCACCACCAGCAATCACCGGCAGCAGCAGCCACCAGGCGGGCGCGGCAGCAGCCTGCCGTGGTGGTGCTGTGCGCCGGTTGTGTTCGAACAAAAAAAAATTATTCTTTTTTATTTTTAATTAAATCTACCCTTAATCTAATTATTATTTTTGGGTTTTGTGATGATTTTATGATGTTTGATGATAAGTATTTTGTATATAAATTTTTAGATTTGGTTTTGAATTAAAAAGCCCCAAATTATAAACCTTAGGTTTCTAAGTTTATGTATATTGACGGAAATTGTTTATGGATGATTTAAATTATTGAAATAGGTGTTTTAAAACACAATTACAAAAATTTTAGTTGATTTAATAAAGCTGGAATTTTTATATATAAGCTATTTTGAGATCATATTCAAGGTACGTTCGCGTACTTGGTAATTATTTGAATATGTAGAAGCATGCTAGGCTTTGATAAATTAATTCTTAGTAGTATCATGATAGGTGTTGGTTGGAATTTGTGGATTGGATTGATGTTGGTAAATGATTTGTGATGTATGAATTATTTATGATGAATTGGTGATTGGAATTAATTATATTGGCATGTTGATTATGAACCACACTTTTATTATTGGCATGATAGAGTGCATGTTTAAATTAAACTAAATGTTAATTTGGTTTGGAATATGAAAAGGAAATTTTATTATGATTCATATAATTTTTATTGATGCTATAAGCATGAGGAAGGAGCTATTTAAGTGTCTTAGTACACATGAATAAATTATATTGCGGTGTCTACGTGCACTTAATGTGTTTCAAACACCGAGGGATAGGATTTGCGGCGCATTATGCATTTAAGGTGTCTTTGACACCGAGGTACATTAAAAAGGGTTCGACAATTAAATTTATGTAGTCACTAATTATTCAAGAATTAAATTGGTATGTTTGATTGCTTGAATGAAGTATAACGTTTGATTGTGTTATGGTTTGAGAGTCATCACCAAGTATAAAAATATGTAAACAACGTAAAGTGAAAGAGATTACGCACCAAACTCTTGGAACGTATATACCTTGAGTATGTACATATGGGGGGAGTTATGGGGTTTTATATTTAACCATAGCTTCTATTGGGAGTACAGGACGCTGTATTTTCCTTTTTATTTATTTTACGCGCAGGACGTCTAGTTAATTCTTGTGAAATTTGCCTACCCGGTTAGCTCCAGGTGTAGTTTACCTCAATTTATTTGGGGCAGGGATTTGGTGGGAAACCCGTTTAATGCGTAATCAAATTAAATAAGCAATTTATTTATTTATTGGTTGGTTGTTTGGTATGTTGTATGCTTGTTTACAGGTGCAACACGGTAAGTTGTGTGATGATAGGATGAAAGCATGTTAGTGTGTTTCTTTACGCTTATGTACTCAACATTGCTGATTGTGTGTTGCATGTTTGTTTGGCCTTATCCTTATCTTGGCCCTACGACGACCCATTTCTAATGGCGAGTAGTTGGGACAAGTAGAGAAAAGCTTTTTAGGTGATGAAGCATTTTCATGATGGGCTTGAGTGAAGAGCGATTTATGTTTAGTTTCCATAGGAATATGATGTGTTTTATTTGCTTTGAATACTATTTATTTTATTATGCTCATGAGAC